CTATACATCACTCTTCTTAAAGTAACACGGTTCTAAAAACTATTTCTGGAGAGCAATGAGCAGCACATTTGCTAAGCAGCCAACTGCAGGCTGGTTTATCCAAGTATAAGGTCTGACAAGTCAGTTAATATCAGCATGCTAATACTGGAGATCCTCTATAAAAATGAGGATAACAAAAAAGGATTACAGTCAACACAATAAACTATCAATTAAAGATCAAGAATAAAACATAATACTGGAAGTAATGCAGATAAATTGAAAAGAAAATAGTGTATTTGCTTTTTTAAAATAAAAAAAAATGTTTTTACACAAAGTTTTCATACTGCAACACTCCAGCCTATCTCTAGATAAAAATTACAATAAAAAAATTTGCAATAAGATCAAATTATTTTTTATTGTTTATTCTGTATAGGGCTTTTAGTAAAATACCCATAAGAGCATTTATTTCACAAGATTAGACAAAGCCTCTACAAGAGCAGAGCTTAAAATTTCAGCTAAAGCGAAATCCTGGCTTTAAATTTAGAATCCCTGTTTTCATGTTGAACCTTTCTACTGTATTTTTGGTAAATTGTGTGAAGATATGGACTTTTTTGTGGCCGATTTGCAGCAAGAGGCCTTTACTGCTGGGGGCACAAAAAAAAAAACAAAAAAAACGTTTTACAGCCATCCATGCACTCTCCAGTTCAACAGTAGTTAAAACTCGAAAACCATCAAAAATAATTAGGCCTCCAATGCACAGTGGCACTCAGGGCCAATTGAATTGACGTAGCACATGCAGCAGCCTCTAGATAGAGCATGAGCTGAATAACAAACATATCCACGAGACAAGGTTGCTTTGCAGTTGGATGTTTCCCTTGTGTTACCCTCTACTCTGTTCAACAAAGTAACCAAATATGAAGCGAGAAAACAGAACCACAACAATAATGTCTGTCTTTTCTGACTGAAAACAGAACTTGGCATGTTGATTCCAGAGCAACTCCCTTTAGACGGACCACTGTGCAACATACAATCTAAGAGTTGTATGTCAACATTTTTGTTGGATATTTACATGAGTTCATACACTATAAATAATTTATCGGAAAATTGGCCTTCACTTATAGGAAAAGTCAGGTAAAATTCAGAATTCAAACTTGTGAAAGTACTTTAAATATTAAATTATAACATACTTTTCAATAAATGATAATTGTTTTTAATTAAGAGTAATTTTATTTGAATGTGCTTTACCGGATACATCCATGTTTGTCAAAGAACACCACTGCCACCTACAGGTTTGTGATGTTACAGTGTGGTATCGGCTATTGAGAAAGTCCCAGTGATGTATCTGGTGTTTTTCATCTTGGAAAGATTCTTTTTCAAAATGTTGGCTACATATTACATGTTTTTTCTCAGGCCAGAAGTTTGAAGTTTGGCAAATCCTCCCTCTTCAAGTTGGCAATCCAACAACCAGGACTGCAGTAACCCCTCAGTGGAGGATCATAAATCGGAAAGGTGAAATAATTTTTTCACTTTAACCCGATGTATTACAACATCTAACTGCCATGCATGTGGCCATTGTCAGTTTAAATATGGCTCTCGCAAATTTCAATGGTCAAGTCCTCTTAAAATGTTAAATAATTGTTGATTGCAAATGTGTCTAGTAGTTCCCATTGATTTTGCTTGTAAAGCGGGCAGAATGGCGCTAAGCTTACAGCACCATGACGTCATTGCCGGAAGGTGTCAGAAGAGAGGTGTATTATATGTTGTATATATTGTATCATATGTGTATTATATATATATTTGGGCAAAAATGGCCGGTTCTGGGCTCGGTGATCTCAACAAAAATTATTATTTTTATTTTTTTTACTGATTAACGCTAAATTTATTGAATCACCGCGAACGTATTAGTTTTATGTATAAATAATGATCCATTTATTATTCCTTGCTGAACGGACTTTTCCGATAAAAGCAACATAACTGTATTGAGGTTTGTGTTTTTTGTGTTTTACTCCAAATATTTTTATAGTACTAGCTAAAAATGTTTCAACATAGCAGCTAACTGTGTTTTCCATGCCAGTTAGTAACAGTGGAAAAAAAACATAAGCATTCCCGTCTAGGATAAAACCGCAAAGAGCCTGGGGGCTTATTTGCCCAACTGCCTGGTTTAAAAGGCCCAGAGATTTCTTATTGGTGAAATAGACAAACAAAATAGCAAAACAAAACAAAAGTAGCAAACAAACAAAGTTGGCATATATCAGTTACTTAAATTGAATGCCACATTGGGTGTCAGGTAAACAGCTTTTTCTCCAGATGTTTGGAGTGTCCACAAAAACTCCTGCCTCAGATATTGCTTCCTGAAACAGATTAGCTGCCTACAGAAATGTTTTTACTGCACAATTTACCAACGTGAATTTTTACAATGTACTCTGAGAGAAAAAAATCTGTGAGATCCCAATTGTGGTAAATGGTTGAATTAATGCCAGGTTGAGATATTTTGTCGGAAATAACATGTTTGAACTCATGCTACTTAATGATAGGGGGGGGGGAAAGGGAGGGTTAATCGTAACTGATATCATCATTACCATATACAGCAATAGTAATGTAATAACATGCTGTCCTAAATACCAGCAATTCTCCTATCATTATTGTTATCAAATGTATTACCCCATCTAAATTATGCCAGATCAAAAGCTCTCTGTGTTGACACAGCAACATGGAGGGTTTCGGGTGAACAACACATTCAATTCAGTTCCAGTTTATTTGCTCTTACGCGTTTTCACCAGTAGATCCAAACTACACCTAATAGATGTCGTAACCAAGCACTTGCAAAACAAGGTTAGATATCTGTGTTTCATGAGTAGCAGCCACAAATCTCCAACTCAGTTTTTTGTTTTTTTTGTTTTTATTTTCTTTATAACCAAAATATCATACAGTATTCATTATGTATAATTAAAGAAATACAATCTTATATTGCCGTTACTAAAGATATAAAAAGATTTATTATCACCTTTGAAACTTAGTTTCCATAAATAGCCCCAACATGTAGCTGTTTTATTTATTTTTCTCCAGTCACGTTAGCCTGTGAGTCCTTTACAACTAAAATAAAGCTAAAAGCAGATTAACACATACTAACTTTAATTTTTAAAGAAGCTAAATAGAATGTTGCATGGTGCAGAACTTCCCTTGAGAGACTTGAATGCAAATATTAGTAACAGAGTCATTAGGTTGTCTGTGTCACAAATGTTTTGACAGATTGATTCAGGCTGCTTTGCCTGAACTTCGCTGTTTCGCTATTGCAGATAGTGAAGCATTACCGACCTGTTTAAGGTGCTTTACAAAGTTTGTATAGTAGTTGTTACAGCTACTAGCATGTGGTATTGTTCAACATTTAATCTGTTTTACCACCCATCTGCCTGTTGGAGAAATAACCCCTGGACGTTTTTTTTGCTTGGCTTTCAGGCTAAGGAGGTTAACTTTTGTTTTGGGGAGGCTCTACTTCTTATGTTAGCACAGTTTTTAACTTACAGCAGCAGAGAGCAGAGGGATTGAGGATCTCTGTTGATGAACTGCTGCTGCCAGAAACTGCCTCCATTTGGACAAATGTAAATGGGATGGGTTGGATAACATTTTGGCTCAAACAAGCATTTTTGAGTCAATTGGGTTTTTGTTTTTGTCAATTGCAACAAAAAGCTAAAGGTGTTGACAATCATAGTCATAAGAAGTAAAATCACCTATTCATTCCAGGAACTGTAAAGGTATACAGTAGGAGATTGTGTTGAACTGCCCAGCAAAGTAGCCACTTTTTTAAATGAGCAAATGTTGAGATTTTTATTTACAGCTTTTCAAAGCTTCTGAAATGCACATAAAGAAAATTATGCATTATTTTTAACCTATAAAATGGGTATGGGGATTTTATAAGGGGAGTCTGTTTGCTTTTAAGAACGAGATCAAAAATAGCTTTAAAAATGTATTTAAAAGGAAAATAGTCTAATACAACAAAAGACAATAATGGAGGGGAAAAAAAGAGAATGTACTTTAGTTTACAACAATTATGGAGAAAACAGATAACTGAATTCTGAAAGCTGTATTAACAAGAACAGATGCTGGATCCGATTTCTTGCGGGTCTTAGGGTCTGAGTGGGAGGCCTTTTTACCAGACCGTGTGGCCGCTGGCTCATAATCCTTTCGTGCCAATTATAAATCCAACTAATCAATCCTTCCAACATCAGCAGCGACGCTGCTCCTCCGACTGGGGAGAAGAGAATCAAATCTCGTTTCTGGCATGCGAAGGAGGGGGGAAAAATAAACAATGTCGCTACTAAAAATATCAGGTGTTCCCAATTATAATAGTGTGTTTCAGATTGTTGATAATGTAAGAAAGCGAGCGTTAGCTCAGTAACTAGGCATTAGCTTCTGGGCCCCGCTTCAAGTAGACCCAGTGGAGGAGGCCTTTGTAAATCTCAACGCCGCCTACGACGTTCAACCTTGATAAATCATTTCTCAGCCTACACAAAGAATAACTCTCGTTAAGTCAAGCCAAGTACTCTTCCAATCTACACAGATATTAAAATGAGTTAATTCCGAAAGCGGCTAGTTGAGAGCTGAACCCACATTCATCCAGTCGAGGATAGAGGTGCACCTGTTTTATTCTAGGCTGAAACACAGAGCTGTGTCACAAACACCGCAGTTCTCTTTCTCCCGGTCAGGCTGCTCTGCTGGGGGCAACCATTAACAAACACTAACCTATTAGCCTGACTAAGACAGTGTGAAAGTGAGTCAGCTTACTTTCAAACACTAAAGTCGGATAAGGAGCGAAGTGAGCAACTACCGAGGGTTGGGGGGGGCTAACTAATAAGCTAACGCAAACATAGTATATCCGCGACAAATTCAGCCTTTTACAAGTCCTGTCAGCGGACCAAAGTCCCAGCCAATGCTGCAGATGAATCAGAGCTACATAGAGACGACAACCTCGGTCTATAGATAAATATCAACAAGCAGCAACAGAGTGCTTATTTCAAACTGACCTTGTTTAGCGAGCTAACATTAGCTAACTCGCGGCATACCGTCTCCTCTTCCAACCGGAGAGAGCCGCGAAGACTTCCCAAATGCCATCAAACACCGGCTGCTCCCCTCAGAGACAAAGGCGCTTATCATTTAGTACGGAAATAAAATGGTTTCCATCTGTTTTGGGTAATCCTATAGATGATATTCGGCTGTATAGAGCGGTGGTGACGGTAGCTTCCCCTCCCTCCACCGCCGCCGCGCTTCTCTCTGTCCGCTTCTCACACAGGTCCACAGGTTGAGGCCAAAGCTGTTAGCAGCCTGACTCCGCCTTCCTTTTTTTTTTTTTAACCAAACAGAAGCAGGTAAAACTGGAAACGCTTACCTCATAATCATACATTTACTGTGCTTAATTATGGTTCTCAAGCATGAACGTGTGTTTTAATTTCCCCATTCAGTGTCTAAGCTGCAGCTGTTTGAACTGCTAGAAATGGAGACAGAAAACCTCCAGGTAGACCCCTTTGTCTGCACTTTCTACCAGTAGATGGTAAAAACTCTGGAAGTTTAATTAAGCAAAGGGTGTTTTCGTACCTTATAAGAAACCTATTGCCGTATCAGTTTAATCTAACACAATATTTTTTATTTTTACAGCAGAGCCTGTCCAATAAATTTGGGGCCCCTTGTAGGAGATGATGAGGGGACCCGCTCTGAGTTGCCAGGCTCCAGTCCAATGACAGAAACCCAGCTAGACTAATCAGCACTGAGCCATTGTTCAAGTCTGGAGGATGAAAGACAGCTCTACTTTATGTCACAAGGCTTTTTCTAGAAGAAAAACAGATTGTGTAAAACAGGGGTGCTCAAGTCCAGTCCTCAAGAGCTACTATTCTGCAACTTTTTGGCTACGTTCACACTGCAGCCTGAAGTGACCCAAATCCGATTTTTTTGTTGCCCATTTGCAACCTGGATCTGATCTTTTCATGGTTCTCTGGACAACACAGATCGGATTTTTTCCAATGCAACCCAGGCCACTTGGCTATATGGTCCTGAATCCGATACAAATCTAATCTCTTCAAATCCAACCTGTGTGTGTGAACGATCAAGTCGCATTCACCTGACCTGAACGCCATTAGTAACCAACGTAGGCTACTATTCTGCTTCTTGCTAAAAAGAAGCAACAAGAAAAACAAACACCATGGCAGACGATGACGCAGAGAGCAGTATTTTTTGTGACCATCTTGAAAAGATTGAGGTGTTAAGGTTTGGAAAGATCGCTAGATGTAAACATGAAGCACGCTGGCCTGTGAAGTCATTGCGTCCTCTACTGTGCATGTGGGACACTTAAGCTGTATGAATGCAGTTTACACAGTATCACATACACGTCACACATATTTGGAATGAATGAAATGTGAGTGGTAACACAAAAAAATCGGATTTCACAAAAAAAATCGGAATTGAGCATCAAGGCCCGCAGCATGAACGTAGCCTAAATGTTACAGGATGGTAGCTCTTGAGTACTGGACTTGAGCACCCCTGGTGTGGAACAAGTGTTTTGTATTCCAGAGAGAAATAGACCTCAGAATCTTGCTCTAGCTTCAAAATGTATCTAAATGCTGCAGCAGTCTACATCTACATCTAATGCAAAATCTTTAAATAATGAAAAAAAACAGCGAGTCAGAAGGTCGACAACACATTCAAGAAATGCACAGTGTATGCTTGTGTTCCTTTGCACAAATACAAGATAGAGGGTGACAAAGTCAGTGTCCATCTATGACAACTGGGGTATGTATAGCATCTATAGAAGTAGAATAAATGAAGTTATTAGCAGCCATATAGCTCATTTAATATATAGTAAGTATACCCTTCCCTATTACAGTCCTACTACCCGGTATTTAGTTTGACTACTGCTTAGAATGACCTTTTTATTCCATAAATCATGACAAAGTTTGAAGAGTTTCAGGCACTATCAGGCCGTAAACATGTTCATATCATATTGTAATTTATATATATATATCTTATTCTCCTGTAACTAATATGGCATATTTGCTTGATACAAATAGGTAAGTAAAAGCAACCAATTATCCTCTTAGGTAATATTCTAATGTCTAGATCTAAGTCTAAAAATTATTTCAAATATTTTTGAAACTAAGATGGTTTAATGTTTTGTTCAGTTTTTCCTATTATATTTGAAATACAAAATTACCCCACAATTGTATGCTCAGAGGTTGTGAATTTTTTTTTTTAACCTAATGGCATCTTCAAATAACCTGGAAGTCTATTTAATGTTCTTCTAGGTAAAACTGGTTAAAGTTTGAGATGTTTGGTTTGGAGCATAAAGATAAGATAAAAGATTTCTTGATTTTCAATAGGATTTAAAACTACTTCCTTGGCCAAAAATACTCCTGACAAATGTATTCAGTTTTATGTGTTATAGACCTTATACTGAAACACAGAAAAAGTAATTTGGTCTTCAAAAAAAGCTGGAAAACAGTATCAGCCAAGAAAAACTTAAATGGTTCATTTTTCAACTTTTAGTATTTTAGTTTTTCTTGAATGTTGGAGCTGGTTTGTATTCAGACCATCTAACATTGTAAACGTTAAGAAAAGTATTATGATTTCTGCTGTTTGTTTTTTTACGATTAACTGCTGTCATGTTTGCACAGTATTCAATCTGTCCTTTGAAATGTCAGGTTCTCTTTGCGCTCCGAGGCTGATCCATATACTGATCCATACACTTATCCCTTGGGCTGACTGGTTAATGGCTAATGAAAATGAACCAATTCCTTTGGCATTTTAAGAAAGTTCCAGAGAGTTTTGCTCAATCCCAACATTTTGAAAGGTTTTAAAATTTTAATTAATGTCAGTATGTTCACCTTTTTGTTCACATCTTGTGAAATCATTGTTTGAAAAGAGTTCTTTATTTCTGTAAAGTCCATTCGAAATGCAGCCTTTGGGTTAATCTGTTCCCGAATCAACAGTAAGTTAGCCTACTTTGATGAAATGGAATATTATATTTCAGACAGTAAAACAACAGTATAAATAGTTTAAAATCTTTTTATTCCCCATCATTTCATGCAATCTCATTGAGAGCTTTTTACTTTTTGTTTCTTATTCATTTAAAAATGTACCCGTTGAAACACATTAAAAACACAAAAGATTGCCCTTTGGGTATTCTCTCCTTAGTCTTAAGGACACCTGGGTATTTTTTTATTCTTGGTTGTGCTTTTCCCATCCCTAAGTGAGTTATTAGTCAGAAGTTACTGTGTCTGAGTTCTTGTTTTAACAGGCTGCTTGTTTACAAAGGGCAAGAATCTTTAGTCTCAGCAGCTGAGGATAAATCATGGTTTAAAGGTTATATGTGTTTAGGGAGGGGTCTTTAAAGAATGAACAGATGGTCATTACTTACCTATATTCTGTTTTTAAAGGACAGTACTTCTTAGTACTAGAAATAAATCTCATGTAATAATAATAAATTAGCAAAGAAAAGAAAGTTTTCTAGTTATATGCACTCTTAATTCCATATTGCTTATGCTGACGGCAAAATCACAGTCCTGTTAAAGCCAGTGCTGGTTTCTGGATTATTAATGTAAACCAGATATTCAGATGACTTTCTCTTCACTGGGGTTGGAAAACATTAATTTGAGATACATTTTCTTCCCCTAGAAGACCTTACATTTTGCAGGTGCAAAAAAGGAGCAGACGGCATCTCACGGAACCAATATTAACAACTGGTTACATTCGCCTGCAGTGTTATGGTTTTAAATAGGGCAGGAGCTCTACTGGGAAATTTACTTGAAAGACAGAGAGAAAGTTTAAGAGGAACATCTCTCAGACTGACAGCCAGTGACAGGCAGCGAGTGTTAAAGCAACAGCGCGCGACTCTGTGAAAATCTCATAAAAATGCAACGTTCACAAATGTCATTACACTGACAAATAAAATCCTTAATAAAAGACTGAAAATGGTCATTTTTCTTATGGGCTTTAGCAGGATTTTATTTTTTATGGCATTGCAAACATTTATGTGAGACATATATTTGCCATCATCATCATCATGCATAAATATCAACAAAGAAATCTTTCACTATAATGCTGTGAAATGAACTGGCTTAGAGTTGAAAACAGCCAGGAAAAGGCCCTCCATATTTTAATGCCACTCTTGGCACTCCTCAGTGCGGTTTTAAAACAGAGATATAGGTTCTGTCTGTAATACTTCACAGACCTGTCAATCACTGACTTCTTCTGGCTCTTTGTTCACCACTCCAGGGCAACGGTGAGGAGGAAAAAAAGCATGCATGTCATATCTGCATGTAAAGTAGTTTAGACAGAAAATATCTTAACAAATGTTTTGCCTAAATTAATTTCAAATGCAATTTCCTTCAAAATTACATTTAGACTCTTTTATTCATGGCTGAAATGATCACACAAAATAAAGACCATGTCGTTTGTTTTATTTGCCTGATTGTATCTAAATGGAATGCATGAGCCATCTGCACAAACATATTACGGAAACTATCTGTGTTTGCTGAGCTATCATCCTGTTGTTTGCATTGAAGTCAGATGAAGGATTTTCATCACAAGCTGCATCACTCCAATCTCATTTTGCCAAAACACACACAATGAACTTGCAGGTTTACTAGACCATGGTAGCCCCGCCGCAGAGGGGCTTTCATGTGATTGCACATATCAGTCTGACTTTTGATGTGAGAGCTCATCAGAGGATTAGGAATCAGCTGACTCCTCACAGTTTCTTCCAAGTGACTTATTAAAAGGGTTATTCTGGGCTTTATGCTGAACTGTAGAGAGGATTGTATGAGTAGTGAGACCCTTTTCAGATCTCTTCTTTTTTCAAATCAGTTTCTGTCATTTTTAATTTAGAAGATGTAGATAATTTACATATTATATATTACATAACCACTGTAACAGTGAAGATATCTGGATCCGTTTTGTGTCTCTAACCCCAATCTTAGTCATTAAAAATGAGGAATTTGCTTTTTTTGAGCCATAGTCTCTCCCTCCCCTACCACTGAGAGTCACCAGAAAAAGAAAGGCAGAAGAACCAGATCAGGGTCACTCTACACTACTGTATATTTAAAGGAAATTAATTAAAAACAACACATCTATTTTATGAATTAAATCGCAAAGACCAGCTGCCCCTGCCTAGTCTATAACAACACAGCCTTTTTTACAGGGACTGTAATTGTACCATATTTTATTATGTTAGATAAATGATATAAATACATACATGCATACATTTGCAACTGCAAAACATGGCGCATAGCACACTGTTTAAC